CGCACCCCATCTGAAAACTCAGCATTGATGATTTTGAGTCTATGCGACAATGCGCACTCCATCTGCAAAACTCAACTTTGATGAACTTGAGTCTGTGCGACAGTGCACATTCCATTTGTAAACTCAGCTTTGATGAACTTGAGTGAGTGAGACAGTGCGCACTCTATCTGTAAGCCTTGCAGAAGTCAGTACGCCCATGCGCGCTCGATCGGCGCTCACTGCTGGTTTCGAGCCAGCGCGCCGGTACGCACTCAACCTGTGAGCCTTGTTATCGATTCTGAGAGCCAACAGTCGCCCCATTGAGGGTTGTCCCATCGAAGATCTTTGCCAATCCGGGACCATGTTTGAGTGTGCGCCGAGTCTCAGTTTGGCTGTTTGAGTGCGCGCCCAGTCTCAGTTTGGCTGTTCGAGTGCACGCCCAGTCTCAATTTGGTTGTTCGAGTGCGCGCCCAGTCTCAGTTTGGCTGTTTGAGTGCGCGCCCAGTCTCAGTTTGGTTGTTCGAGTGCGCGCCCAGTCTCAGTTTGGCTGTTTGAGTGCGCGCCCAATCTCAGTTTGGCTGTTCGAGTGCGCGCCCAGTCTTAGTTTGGCTGTTTGAGTGCGCACCCAGTCTCAGTTTGGCTGTTTGAGTGCGCGCCCAGTCNCCCAGTCTCAGTTTGGCTGTTTGAGTGCGCGCCCAGTCTCAGTTTGGTTGTTCGAGTGCGCGCCCAGTCTTAGTTTGGCTGTTTGAGTGTGCGCCCAGTCTCAGTTTGGTTGTTTGAGTGCGCGTCCATTCTCAATTTGGCTGTATGAGTGCGCGCCCAAGCTTGGCAATGCTGTTAGAGTGCGCGCCCATGCGCGCCCATGCGCGCCCAAGCTTGGCATTGTTGTTAGAGTGCGCGCCCATGTGCGCCCGAGCTTGGCATTGTTGTTAGAGTGCGCGCCCATGCGCGCCCAAGCTTGACATTGTTGTTAGAGTGCGCGCCCATGCGCACCCAAGCTTGGCATTGCTGTGAGAGTGCGCGCCCATGCGCGCCCGAGCTTGGTATTGCTATTTGAGTGTGCGCCCATGCGCGCCCAAGCCAGATATTGTTATTTAAGTGTGCGCCCGTGCGCGCCCATGATCGGCATTGTTTTAGTGCGCGCCCATGCCTAAAATTGCCATTTGAGTGCGCGCCCAGGTGCGCCTAAGCTTGACAGTGTCATTTGAGTATGCACTCACGTGCGCCCGCGATTAGTATTGCTATTCGAGTGCGCGCCCATGCGCGCCTATGCTCGGCATTGCCATTTGAGTGTGCGCCCCATGCGCGCCCAAGCTTAGTGCTGCCAATTAAGCGCGCCCATGCGCGCCCACGCTTGGTATTATCACATGAGTGCGCCCCGGCTCGGGTAGGCTATGTGAGTGAGTGCTCTGATGTTCTGATGATTCTAGAACGCACGCCCTACCGGTATGATGGTCGGGGACGCGCGCCTTGCTAGTGCTATTAGTCTTGAGGACGTGACTGGATGTCTTTGATGGCATGACAAGCCCCAACTCCCGCTGATTTGATTTCTTGCTGATCAGTCTCTTCATGGACAATCAGTCCCAGTGTAGACAGTATTTTCCTGCAAGTATGATATCAGCGCAGTCCAGTTTGCACACGCAGTATTTTGCAACTGGCCTCTGCATAGATAACACCTTGATGAGCAGTCCTCTACAATGACGATACTGGCAGTTCAGTCCACACGCTGCAGAGATGCTCATATGACGTTGTTATGCTGAGCTGCTGAGTTGTTGTTCAGCCGGGCCCATTGAGGCGGACCCTTGTATCGAGTTGTTGCTGTTCAGCCAGGCCCATTCAGGCGGGCCCCTATATCAAGTTGTTGTTGTTCAGCCGGGCCTATTCAGGCGGGCCCCTATATCGAGTTGTTGCTGTTCAGCCGGGCCCATTCAGGTGGACCCCTATATCGAGTTGTTGATGTTCAGCCAGACCCATTCAGGCGGGCCCCTATACCGAGTTGTTGCTGTTCAGCCGGACCCATTCAGGCGGGCCCCTATGCTGAGTTGATTGCTGATCCCATCGAGTTGGGCTATTTTCGTGAGTTGCTGGTACCCCCCTTTATCACCAGGACATCATTGCTTGGTGTGACCACCTGTCAGGGGCATTCTACCCTACTTTGCAGATTGGTCAAGCTGGCTCCTCAACATTTGACAACCCCTACATGGGGTAAGCTGGTTGAGAAGTTTTGTTATCGACACATTGGACATCAGAGCTTCGTCATTAGGGCCAATGAGTCTCCCACATCGAGATACACATTGGTGATCACTTATCACGTGAGAGATGCTGGGCAGGGAATAAAGGGAGCCACCTATGACCGGATTGCTGATTATATCTTCCGTAGGGAGAGTTACTGGAGGGAGCACTGGTTACATGTGGTGTTTTCCCAGGTCCCCTTCGCACCAGGTGGTGCTCTCTTTGACTTTGATGGACGTAATCCAAAACCACTGAGCAGAGGTGGCAGAAAGGAAAAGAGGCGTCAGGACAGGAGGATTAGGAGCGAGGTGACCAGATCTGGGATACCTATCACCACCTGCTTACAGAGGTCAGAGACCGACGAGTCAGACCAAAAGCCTTACTGCATGAGCGACGTTGACTTGGAATATTATTTTGACTGGGATACTCACAGAGATTGAGCACGCTTGAGTTGGAGCAGATCCAGGGCATCTTATGACATTGGTCGTCGGAGTGAGACGCAGGCGGAAGGCAGCCCTACGACGGGTTCCTTATCTCTTGGCACAATATTTGCTTGAGGGTGATTGATCCAGGCATTACATGTCAGGAGGACCCAGGTCAGAGGAGGTAGCCGGCCCTTCAAGAGGGAAGGGACCAGTCCCATATATTGGGGATGGCTACAGTCATTGGGTGGGAGCAGACTTCGTTATATAGGCTTTCCGGAAGCCACTCTATGGAGACCGTTTTCTGGAGGTTTCATATGATTACATCTACGGCAAGGGACGGATTGAGATCTTGATCGGTGCCACTGGCAGCATTTCCCTCGCTGAGGAGCTGTACCTTCGGAGTGTTGCGGACCAGGAGATGGCTAGATGTATGGCATATATTTGCAAGATCGATCCTGTGGCATCTTTTGACATCAGCTATGTGGTCCGAGAGTCGATAGCCACTCAGGTTCTCAATGACGAGGAGGACCAGCGTGTACCAGATACGGAGTCCCAGACAGTCTAGCCCACTCATGAGGGGGTACCAGTTGTCGTTATTGACTGAGGCTCGTATCTTGTAACCATTGAGATGCATTATGACATTGTTATGATCAACCTGTTACTGCAGCCGCTTTTATGGATGCTTCCTGTATTCTTTGTGTACTACTCTTCGGTCTCGTGTCTCTGGTCATGCTCTTGCGGAGTCTGGTTTCTGGTCTTTTCGTCCTCTAAGTGTCATTTGATTTATGATGCATGTCCTGTAATGCATGGAGTGTTTGTGCATGAGATAACAGGTTATTTATCACTCCTTATCATAACAGGTTACACTCAAGGCTACTTGAAGGACTCTTGGATAATAGGGACTCCGGTGACCTTGATTCTAACCTTTATACGGGGTCAGGTGCAGGCGATAAAAACCGAACGCCTCACTCTAAGCCGTGTCGCCGCTGGCAGGAGGGATAACCCTGACTACTCGACTGTGTGACAAAGGTTGCTTGTGATTTCACTTCTAATTTTCCTTAAGACTCTCCAAAATCCTCCGTGACAGCCTGCTAGTCCACCAACCCACCGCACTCGGCCCGGGGAGAGACATCGAACCAGGCCCTGGAACGGTGGGGGCGCGACAGCGCGCAGGGCATATTCAGGCTCGGGTTCAATAGTTGGGCCAAGTACTAGTGGTCTAAATAAGGAGATCCAGGGTTGTCACCCGGGGCACCCCGGGGCGGAAGCCGGGGTGGGTAGTCGACCCCCGGACCGCCGCGGCGGGGCCTGCTGACCCCCGGGACCCGCTGTGCAGGCCCGCGGTCGCCCCACCCCCTCAACCCGGGCCCAGGACACCTGCACCCCCGCCCCCGACACCCGCACCCCCACTGACCCGGGCCCCGGACCCCCGCTGCCC